TTTGGTGGGAACAATAAGGGAAAGCGTCGTGGTCCCTTTCGTGTGGCAGAGCAGCGACAAGAAACAGGGTTGACCAGGAGAATCGGTGCATGCATTCGTTGCAGCATCCAACGTATCAGAGTAAGATGTGATGAGTTGTTGTTATGGCTCTTTGGCTAATTCTTTCGTAGTGTATACCAGACCCAGCTGACGAGCGCGGTTGTTGTCGAACCTGTAGCCAAACTCCTCTGAGAACGCGCAGATTGCCGTGCCTTCGATATAAGATTACCGATTCAGAGCTTTTGGATCATGAAGTATGCCCAAGACCGGCGTGGACAACCCGTTGGAAGAGGATGGAAGTGATTGATATCACTACTTGGGAGTCTGACGCTATCAAAAATATAGACATCACCCAAGGCGTTGGGAAGACCTCTTTCACTTTGCAGGTCCGCAAGTTCAGACCAGTGGAAGGAGATGCACTGTGTCGGAAATGGAAAGCAAATGGTGTTGAGCACAGTTATGAATGTGCAACTTATGCTATTGCAGACATGAAGGAGGCAGGTAAAACGATGTTTGATTTTGCTCAGAGCAATCTACCAACAGCGATTCGGTTTTGGGTTGATGAGAAAGTTCCTTTGCTGCGAAGCACGTACAACATGGCGTACAATTACTCGTTCAATGCTGAGGTAGGATTCCCTCCGGAGGGAGTGGACTTTACTGACTATTGAAGCGCGAGGAAGACCGTAAACTTCTCTCTGCTACTCTGCGCATGTGGTCTGCCTCTCGTATGATGTCTCGGTCAGATTACATATGTGGCCGAGAGACGCTGGGAATGCAGAGACGGAACTACGGACCTAACTCCACAAACACTGGGAAAATCTTGACTCCTCCAGTCTTCTCTGCACAAATGGAGGTAATATTCGTCGCTGAGTTGCTGCTACCTGCGAAGAGGGAGATTCTCGAGCGTCTTAAGACTCTCGTCTCGGAAAGCAACAGACGCTCATGGTTGGCGATATATCTCTGCATATTTCTGTTGCTCCATAGTTGCGCGCTTCTAACAAAAAAGGACCATGAAAGAGCCGAGAAGCAGGGTCTCAAAGTAAGACAGTCTTCATAAGTTATTAGTAGTCTTTTGTTGACGATACCATCCAGCAACGTTTCTATCGACCTCGAGTGATAGCCGAATTACACAACGGCGCAAAGATTATTCTTGCGTACTTCCATTTCTGCAACAGAGGCGACTATCCGCTACATATGGATTGGAACTCAGAAGACCAGACAAGATTTACTGGCCTGAGACTGGAACAAATTGAGTTCATGCGTCGAACAAAGAGTGAGGCGGAAGATAAGAGTGCGTAATACATTCCCACTATACATGATGTCTCCACTAACAGTATTTCAAGCGTTACACTTCCACAGCGTCCTGAACAATCACGCATACGAGGATGAATATTACTTTCTCGCTCAGCTTTGGGAGCGTGACTGGAAACCAAGACATACGATATAAAATAGGCAACTTTGCTTTGCGAAGATGTCAGTAAAACAGTCTCTCTATCATGATTTATATCAAGATATATCTCAAAAGTACAAGTACCCGTCTTCAACTGTGCAAATTTACGCTATTCCGTCTAAATTTACTATGCTCGATAACAAATTTGTTCCAATGCCCATATAAACAGTTGATAAAAGTCCAGACTCCACTCATGCAACCATGAAATCTACCACTACGAAAATTGCGCTCCAATACCCTTAACCATGTCACAACCAAGATCTCTTGGAATAGTCTGTACTAGCGGACTTCGTTTCGGGACGCTGTCTGCAATGTTTGTAGGTGGCTTTTTCGATCTTCGTGATGCGCTCAAAGAGTCGCAGAACTCACGATCAAACTCTAGAGTTTGGAACGTTAGTAGCCCTCTTTACATACAGTCCGATCTGTTCCTACCATTGCAAGAGACCAGGCTGGTGTACGGTCTAATGTCCTTCTTACATTCCTCACACGAGGAGCTGACGCATACCTTCATTGTCAAGGTAGGTGGGCGGGTTGCACAGGCAGTTTAAGGTACGGATGGCTTTCGTAGATAGGCCAGAGTCTATCAGATTCGAGGGTTTATCCGTGGATCAGTATGCTGAAACTATTGTGGACGTTGCGAAAATTGAAAGTGACTTTGAAAGTTTTTCTCCTGACCAAAATATACAGAAAGCTCAGAGGTGATGGATTAGCGATTGAAAGATATCAATAATGTCTTCTAACTTGATGTTATATCTGATAGCACCACCTCCATAGTCCTGCATCTGCACTGGCAAGATGAAGCTCTTGCAGCCTTGTTAAGAATGGCTACGTGTCTGTCGTCCCTGGAGAGCATCCCGGACTGAACGCTCTCGAGTCCGGAGACGGTATCGGGTTGAATCCATCAACAGAGCTTTGTTGTTCTCCACATGCATACGAACTTTGGCAGCGGAGTGGCAGCAATATAGAGAAAAAGTGGAGATAGTGTTTAGTGACATACTTGCATGCTTCACCGAAAACTCGCCTCCAGCCCGATTCTTAGTGAGTAAGAGAAGGCTGCAGGAGTGCTTACCTGTATGTTCGGGGAGGCGTCTGCCAAGCCATTACCGAGGCAGGCTGACATGTATCTTGCATATACGAGCTACAGCTTACAACCTATCCGCGTCGACTTTGCTGTGCACCTTCTCACTGCCAACCAACAAAAGAGAACACTTGGTGCGTACACTGTGGCTGACTTGGTGAAGGAGGTTAGACTTCATATCGGTTTGCGCTATTTGGAGCGTGATGCTGCCTTGAATGTTATTGTCAAAATTGGGCGTAATGATACTTTGAGCACCTTGATTGGTCAGGGGGATCTTCCCTTGGTAATCATGGCGAGGACTGACCGTGGGACCAATTCGTCGAGCTGTCCTTGTAACGTTGTTTGTGAGCCGCGTGTCGTGGAATTTACCTAGATATCAACTTTTCGCATATATTCATGTTTCATCCTGCAATACGTACCCTGTTATCGGAGGACATCGGAGTGAATGTGCATAAGCAGGAGGATATAAGAGGATGGACAAAAGGACATGGAGATGCGATCGGAGAGAGATAAAACATTTGCGCGCACATCGAACTGATACTGTGCGAAAAAATGAGATGTATCACGGTACGTCATACCTGCCTAGGTAGGTACCTAAGTTCACGCAGTGTACGTACCTGGGTATAGTTTGATTATGTAATTAATGGCGCTCTTGCTCAGTACTAATGTATGCTCCAAAGTCCAAAGCGCCAGGCTTTTCAATTTTGGGATGAGATAGGCACGAAACATGCCGGCAGATCTCTCGGCAAACCGATTGCGTTGGTGGCGTACGTTGACTACAGCCAACCTCGGTCGCGGAGCACCGAGGCCGAATCACGCTACTGCACACCTGCTTTCTAGCCACACTCATGGTTCTGCATCAACGACTCAATGCATACTTCTTTACTAACATCTCGGCGACCTGTGTGCGACATTCTCAGCGGAGCGGAACACCGAGCACCGTCGTTCTTCTTGAGACTCACCTGGCCGAGCCTATCTCTTCTTACTCCGCTCTCGTGCCTACATCCCGACTACTCGGAGCTGGGCGCCGAAACTCGAACCGTTGACCACGGAACCCAAGGGCACGATCCTAGCCATGCAAGCGTAGGTCTTCGCAGCTCATTTCTGGTTGGTCACAACGTGTTTCGACACGAACTAGAATACTAACGCCAACGCGTAGGTGCGATCAATGTCACGAGAGAAAGGTGCGATGCGACAAAACCGTCCCATGTCGACGATGCAGCCTAAGTGGATCGGAATGCCGTTACACAAACCGGACGAAAGCCCGCACCTATAGCCAGGTCCATGTAGACACTCTTGAGCGCAGAATAAAGCGCTTAGAAGCCCAGAACAGAAGTCTGGTGAAGCACAATAGGACTGACCCAGTATCTTGCACAGGCCAGAATACTCCCATCGTTGTCCAGGATGATCTTCCTACAAACGAGAGTAGCAGTCCGCAACACCGTCTGTCAGCCGACGTCGCCGGGGAAGTATCATACCTGTCGATTAATGCGTCCGGAGAAAGGAACTACCTGGGGTCCTCAAGCGGAGTTCTCTTAGCGAACTTCATCAGAGCCAATGTGAACATCGAAACTTCAACACGGTCGATAACGCCACTTGGCGATGATGAAGCTACAGACTCAATGGCTTTGGCTGCAGAGCTTGCTCGCGACCTACCATCTGAACAGATAGCAAGACGACTTGTATTATCCTACCTCAACCATGACCACTTACGCTACCCTGTGGTTCTCCCTGCCACCCTCTTGTCGATACTTTCGGAAACATACAGCACAAACGGGGCTCTCTACACGCGGACCACAAGCGAAGCCTTTGTCTTCGATATAGTGCTTGCTATCGCCACAGCTAGTATCTGCCGGTCTGACTGGCAAGGGCTGCCAAGTGCGCATAGTCATTACACGCGGGCGATGAAGCGGGGATCGACAATCTTAGAGAAGGGGGGACTTGCTGCTCTCCAGGCAATCATCCTGTTGATTCAATACCGCATGAGCAGTTCCATGCAAGACACCTCAGCCAGTATGTTGCCATATCTCCGTCAAACAGAGGAGTCATTTCGCTGCAAGCATGATCTAAAGACTATACAGGCATGTGGCATTTGGTGGGAGTAGGGAGCAGAATTGCTCTCGAGCTCGGCCTTCACTGTGAAACTGCATATCCGTACAAACGCTCCGATGACTCTATAGGAAACGTAGAACCGAGTGCCGACCATGTCCAGCAAGAAGTCTCCCGGCTTTGCTTCTGGAGCATCGTGGCAATGGACAGGTGCGTTTGGAAACTCCAATGCGAAAATACGCAGGAAGGAATACCAGCTGATTACGCAGCAGAATAGTCAGCAACATATTAGGTAGGCCTCTCGCCATTCGCGACGACGACATAGACACAGCGCTTCCGTCTGATCTATGCGACAAGATCCTGCTTTCTGGTGTCGAGACACCCATGGCCGAACATCTGGTCGCATGCCGCCGCGTTTCGATCTTCGTTCAGATCATCAAGTATCGCCTACTGTGCGGTGACATTATCGAGACTCTGCACAATCAGGGTCGAAAGAATCTTCCAGACGATGAACTCCGCCACCGCAGAGATCAATTTGCAGCCGACCTCAAGACTTGGCGCTTGAACGTTGAAAGAGTCGTTCCTCCAAGCTCTGTGAATGACATGACGTCTTCGTCTTGCTTTACATCACCTACTTGGTTCGAGATGATATATCATAACGCTGTGCTAATGCTTCATCGGCCATCCCCTAAACTGGACACATCAAGAGACCCAGTTGCTGTACAAGCAATCTTTACCTCCTCTCAGGCTTCCATATCCTCATATGCAAGTCTCCATCGTATGGGGATCTTGAACCACAGCTGGCTTACACTACAAGCTTTATTCATGGCGGGATTGTCATATGTGTACGCTGTAACGATGCACTGCCAGGCCAATCGTAGACAACTAGGCGGGCTGCTGAACAAAAATCCGAGCACCATGGAAGTGATCAGTGACACACGTACGTGCTCAAATATCCTCGTAGCGGTTTCGGAGAGATGGAAGTCGTTGCAACGCTGCGTCGACATCTTCAATAGATTGAGCGATGCTATTCTGATCGACGTTATCAAATTCAGCACAACCCCCATCAACGCTACTCATTTGCCGACCAACGATTCGGGAAATCGTGACGAACAGTACAGAGATAGGTCCGAGTTGGCGGCAGAAACAAACTCGAACGATTTGGTTCAGCACCCTCAATGGAACCACGCATCATACCTCCAGCCTATGGGGACTGATCGAGTGGTATCTAGCCTATCGCCATTGGCTATCGAGAATGAGTTCAGAGGCTCAGCGTTCGATCTGCAACAAATGTATGATCAGCAGCAAGTCGATATGTCTGTGTATCGATTCTCTCAGGCTTGGTTCGACAGCTTCGACTTTTATGGTGGTATTGGGCCGCAGCTCAATGACATCACGATGGGTACACATCTTTGATGTTGGTCTGTTTTCACTGTTGCGGAGGCTGCATTAAAGTTCATGTACTCCCCATTCTATATACAACCCCGTTGGAGAAAGCTCGTTGGAACGTCTACAACCTTGCTTCGCAAGTATTCCCCGATACCTTTGCCGAGCCCATCAATGCGCGAGCTACTGGCAATACCACCATCCAAGAAGTCGAGTACTCGGCTGTACCGGTTAGTCAGTGAAGCAACTTCTAGCATGCAAACCGGGGTACTTACAAGTGGACTGCGAGAATGTTTGGAAACTCGCACCTTTCGACTCTACACCCGTCCTTCCAGTCATCCTCGAACAAAGCACACAGCCGCTCCACCGTCAGAAAGCTCTGTAGCCACGGGTACTCATCAGCATGCCTAACAAAGAAACCAACATTCGAATTGTTGCCTTTGTCGCCGGATCTTGCATGCACAACGGCCCCTAATGGGGCTTTTGATGTGAGGCCGAATGACCGAAGATCTATGGGTGTTTTGGTTTCGTATGACGGTCGCAGCTGTGGATATTCGGCAGATCTGGGTGGAAACGGGGCGTATATCATCGGTTCGTCGTCCAGTCGCACTCTGTGGTTGATCTGACTGACCGGCATTGTTGTGGGGAAGATTTCCATGAAAGGCTTGGGATCCATTGACCGAAAGTCCAAGTTCATGTGATAGCCTGCCATTGGTCAGGTTATCAACCTCGAGAGACGCGCATCTTCTGGATTTCTGACTTACCAGGATAGCTTTGCATACGAAGGGAGTAGATAGGGATTCGAAACTTGCTTGCAGCAATGTCTTCTTTCCTCTTTGCTTGCGCGAAGACTCGCAACATGGCTGTACCCGCTGCCTGCGATTTCGGATCAAGCGCTTGGCCACCGTAAAGCTCCATAGACAGTTTGCTGAACTGATTACCCTGAAAGATGCTTGTCAGCTGTCGCTTCATCATCTCCGCCTTTTCCGAAATGTCCAGGCCGTTGAGATAATAAATAGTTTCAGCTTGATACCCTCCCGGAGCTGCAACCATGACCTTGGTGGTGAGTGGTGGCGGAAACCCCTTCACTCCGCTGACGAGAACTTCCCGCCGCGGCTCGCCTGTGGCCGTGATATTTACGGTGCGTATATCGGCCACTACGTCGGGATTGAGATACATCTCACCCTGGAGCTCGTACAACAGCTGCGCGGTGACGTTTGCAGCAGTAACTTTGCCACCAAGATCTTCCTGTTTTGTTATGTAGCTGGATCCATTGGGCATGATCTCAGCAATGGGAAAGCCGACGTCGACCAATCCTGGAAGAAGGTCTTTGAAGCCAGAAAAGTTTGCGCCGCAAACGTAAGGTCCGCATTCGATCAGATCTACAATGGAGATTAGTACTAGGAGAAAGCACAGAACATGACCGCTATCGACTTACGCCCCGCAATAAGTGCCCCAGCTAGCTCATCGAAGGAGTCATGTTTCCAGTTATACCACCACGCTGCTGCACCAATCTGTATCAGCCGAGTCAGCGATCTCCCACAAGAGACAAAATGATTATAGCCAAACATACCACTGGAGACGCATCCGTAACTCGCCCACACAAGACAATATCAGCCCCCTTCTTCAATGCCTCCACGATCCCCCAAGCCCCGATATACGCCACCGCACTCGCTGGTTCCTCGAATCCCTTTGCCCATTCCACAAAGCACTGGTCACTATGATCCAAATGCCGAAACCCACTTCCCTCCCCTGGTGCTCTCCGCAACATTTCTGTGACCTCGGCTGTGACATCGTCGCCCAGTACCGCTGCGATTCTCAGATGTCCATGCCCATTTTGCGCACAAAGCTCTCGCACCTTCTCCCGGAGCGCCTCCGTGTTCAATGCGCCCGCATTTGTAACAACCTTGATCTTCTTGTCGACGATGATATCGATGCTTTCTTCGAGCTGGGACAGAAAGCCAACTTCGTAGCCTTGAGATGGATCACTGGCTTTGGCTATGGCATTCCAAGCGATGTTCATTTCCGACAGCCAGTCTCCGGTGATGAAGTCGACATCGTCTGTTTGTGCCATGCGGAGCATGGCATGGGGAGCATCACCAGTCGCGCCAGAGACGTTGCCTATGCGAATGCCGCGTTGCGGCGCTGGTCTTGTGCGCATGGTCAATATAGTGTGGGAAGTATAGGCTGGAAGTACTATTATCGTGTCGGTCGTGAATCTTGCTGTTGAACGTTCATTCAGACGGAACACAATGTTGCCAATATTTTGGCTGGAGACCTTTTTGCGTGGAGGCAATATTGAGTCAATCTAGCTAATAGACCTCTCCATGTACCTGCCCAGCCGATTACGCCCTTATGCCTATTGTAGCGACTAAACGACAGCTTCGAGAATGCCGACAACCGACCGCAATCAGTTAGCTGGCGTGATTCGTACCCCAACAACCACGCTTCGGATGCGTCGCCATCGCTCGGAGGACGTGCTAGCTGCGGAATAGTTACATGGATGTTTTTTCGGCGTAGGTACGCCGAGTGTCATTGTTACCTTACACGCAGTCTTGCTCGGGGCGGCGTCGCCGAGGGTAAGTGGCCCACCACTGCGAGTCAGTGCGGGGGAGCAGGCCTACCCAGATTAGGATCTTAGCGCCTCAAGCTTCTCTTTAGTGTCTGATATCCTGTGTGAGGACACCATTATCCGGGGAAACCCCATGGGGAGAGAGACTAGTATTATGATGCGCAGGGTAAATGGTCCAAGTCCGATATAAACCATTGCGCCGTCGACAGGGCTATTCATCCTGACCTTCTGTTCTCCTCTCCTCATTGCGAAACCTCCCGTGAACAGCATTATGTCGGTACCACAACCCGAGCCAGTGCAGGGTGTAGGATCTCCCTTGCCAGCTCACACCGTGGACCCTATCGATGAGAAATACCAGAGCCAGCATACGGAGTATGAGGAGAAGGTTCAACCCAAAGTCGACTACTCTGGGGCCACAGCTAAGACGAGTCCTGAAGAGAAGAAGCTCGTCAGGAAGTTAGATATCTGGATCATGGTGAGTTAGCCATGTGCATGCCTTTCAAAAACCGACTAACAATCTACTCCAGCCCATGCTCTGGCTCATGTACTGGCTCAACTACTTGGGTAAGAATTTGATACTATGAAGCTGTCATCAGTAGACTTTATGCTGAACGGATACCTAGATCGCAATGCCATCACTCTAGCTCGTCTGAATGGTTTCCAAAAGGACCTTGGACTTACTAGTTCACAATACAGTACTGCTATCTCTATCCTATTTGTTGGATACATCCTCGGACAGGTAAGTTATGACTGTACGAAAGCTATGCGAGTCATCCACTGACTTCGTACCTCTATACTTATAGATCCCTAGTAATATGATTATCACTCGAGTCAGACCTTCGTGGTACATGGGTATCTGCATGATGGGCTGGGCAGTCGTAAGCGGGCTCACTGCCGTCGTGCATAACTACACGGGCATTGTACTTGTGCGTTTTTTCTTGGGTGTAGTCGAGGCGCCGTACTACCCAGGAGCGCTCTACCTCCTGAGCATCTTTTACACGAGGAAGGAGATTGCGACACGTATCAGCATCCTCTATTCTGGCAACATACTCGCGTCGTCCTTTGCCGGACTCATTGCCCTTGGCGTCTTCAAACTCGATAATGTCCATGGTATCAGGTATGGCCCTTTTGTACGCAGCGAGCACAAGATATATACTGACCCTCGACGGTATAGCGGATGGCGTTGGCTCTTTATAATACAAGGTGCCGCCACCTTTGTCATCGCCGTAGCAGCCTGCTTTATCCTCCCTGACGAGCCTCTAACCACATGGTGGCTTAACCCCGAAGAACGCACACTTGCGCACGCTCGGGTTGCACGAGATACTGTTGGCCACTCTGCCGATGTCTCCATGCTTGCTGGTCTCAAGGAAGCTGTTCGCGACCCCAAAGTGTGGGTATTCGTCTACATGCAACACCTACACATGTAAGTTCCCATGACCCCGATAATCTACCGTCTCTGACATTTTTTGAGAGCGACCAACGGCTTCAAAAACTTCATGCCGACGATTGTCAATACGCTAGGCTTCTCGCAGGAAGTCACACTTGTATTGACATGCCCACCATACCTGATAGCAGGTGCATTCTCCGTCGCATGGGCGATATCATCCGGTCATTACAACGAGCGCACCTGGCACATCACTATCGCTAAAGGCGTGGCTATCTTTGGGTTCGTGCTCGGCTGTGCGACTATGAACGTAGGCGCAAGATATTTTGCCATGTGCGTCTTCACAATCGGTACATATGGCGTCAACAGTATTATTCTTGGATGGGTATCTTCAACATGTGGGCAGACAAGGGAGAAGAAGTCTGCTGCTCTGGCTATTGCCAACGTCGCGGCTACCCTCAGCTTGATCTGGACTCCTGTAAGTTTTGCAAATCGGTCGCTTGTTCTGGATGAAGTGACTGACGTCGAATAGTACATCTGGCCAGAGTCGTCGGAGCCACGGTTCGTATTTCCGTTGTCCATGAGTGCCGGTATGGCGCTGATGTGTGCGGCTGGCGCGTGGCTCATGCGGTGGTGGCTGATCCGGGAGAATCGAAGGATCAAGAGCTCGAACTCCGAGACTACGATGTTCTACGCTTATTGATCAGGTAGATGGAGATACTAAGATACATGGACGTTCTGCATACTCGGTCTTATACATGCGTATTTGGTAGGCAGCTTATGCCCGATGGTGATTGATGAAATTATATTTTCTACCTTGCGGACTTGGTCATGCCAAACCAATGATATTTTGTTTGAATCTGGTCAAAATGATACATACGACCATAGGACACTGAAAATTAGGCTTCCCGTCCGCTCAGCCATATACAAGCAGTGTACCGGCGGATTAGTAGTTAGGTGGGTGACCACTAGCGAATCCCCGCTGTTGTATGTTTTTGTCTTTTTGCTTGAACGAACGAACCCTGGGTGACTTTTTTGGTACCAGCGTCGAACGAGTGGAAGAACAAGTATGAGTAGCGATCGGTAAGGTGAGATCAAAAGTGAAACAACGACTAGGTAACCTCAAAATATGCAGTCAAATAGGCGCATGGCAGACTGTATCGTGCAGCCAAAGCCACTTGTGTGAACAGGCATACCAAGGCAGTATGGTTTAGAATAAAGATATCATATCAATCTTGCAGACTTGTCAGTAATGCTTCTACGTAGAGAGAGTGGCATGACTACCATTGATAAATGGTTGAGGTATCTTAGAACGCCGTAATCCAAGCTTTTACTCCCATCGCGGCTCTGAAGATTGATGCCGCGACGCCCAAACTCCATGCTCCCTTTTCATGCTATTCCGTGCGATTTCTTCTTCCCGTATGTTCGAGCTTGACCTCGTCTCGTGTATTCTTCAATGACACATAACCTGCGCGACTGCACCAAGAGCAGCTGCCCAAGCCATGTCATCAGTGATTCCTGAAATTCTTTTTCTGGTAAAACAGATCCGTCCTACTACTACCCAGATTTATAATCTTCGGGCACCCATCGCGGTCCTTCTCCAGGCGCGTGCACTCGAAGCAGTAAAAGGCGTCAGAGATGCCTTCGCCACCGCAGACGACGCATTTGTTCTGGTAATTGCCGAATGAGCACTCGTCGCAAATGCGGGCGAGGGTGGTCGGGCGCACGTAGGAGTCGCATACGGGGCATTTGCCGTCGCACTTATCGCAGAGGCGGCCGATGGAGATGCCGGATTGCTTGCGGCACATTACGAGATCGCTGCGTTGGATGTCAGTATAGGCGCGTATTTGTGTTGGGTGGAAGCACTTACGGATGATGGCGAGACATGGCGCGGATTTATAGATGTGGCGCAAAAGACCGACAGGCCGTATTGGAGCGATTTGGGCAAAAGTTTGTGTTTTGGGTAGGTCTGGGAGCGGTGGTGGTGTTTGTGGTGGCGCGTGGATTTGGGACTTCAGATTCGTATGCAGAAGAAAGACAGTCGTGACTTGACCTAAGAGCTTCGGGGGTCCGCTGAACCCGTGATCCGTGCGCGAAGCTTCCATCGCGTCACCAAGTTTCCTTGCATTACAAACAACGCCAGCAAACAACCACACGTGATTTCTCGTTTCTGCCAAAAGCACCGTAGAAAGAACCAAAAACAATCATAGGCTGCACGCGGTACTGCCATGGACGGGCCCATTGCATCAGCTGTAGTCCTTCCGGATGACCCACTACAGCCAGCCTCGCCCCCTGTGAACGGCCACAAAAGACGCCAGGAATCACTATCAGAAGACACCGCAAAGCGACCACGACTCGACGATGATACTACAACTGGAGACAGACGTGACTCTATTACCAAGGACTCCAAGGACCCCAAGCCCGCTCCAGTGCGACGCGAGAGGGGACGAGAGCGCAGATTGTTTGGCGCCGCTTTGGGTGCACTCTCACAGAACACTACTACTACAGCGCAGAAACGTCGTGCCGAGATCGAGAAGCGTCAACTAGCTCAGCGCAAACAGGACGACCAAGAGAGCGAACAGAGGAAGGCAGAGCGAACAGCCAGGCGCAAAGAGCAACGATGGAAGGAGCAGAAGCACTTCGAGAAGCAATCGGTACGGCTTGCCAATCTGCGTACGGGGGTTTGGCTGAGCGCTAACTATCCACAGATGCGCATCCGTCATGAAAATCTACTCGCCATGGCGCACTTCCTCCAGACCAAGGCCGAGCCACACCTCGTACGTGTTCTGCTATCAACTCGCATCCGTCACAGCTGACTTTGCCCAAAGTTTTACAAACCCTGGGAGACTAGTCCCGACGAAGAAGACCGTATACGCGACCAAATAACCGAAGCCAAAGAGACCATCAAACGCGAGGTAGAGGAGTTCGAGGCACGACAGCAGCCGGATAATCTGCGGAGACGGGATACTTCCGACGGAAGGATTGGTGATGCAGAGGGTTCAGAAACTGGTAAGAACCATCATGCAGATGCACCTCAAGAAACAACCACAGCCAATGGCGGGACTAATGGTAGCGCCACTTCCCCCAAGGACCTGGACATGAAAGATCATCATTTCGATACCGCTGATGCCGATGGGAAAGCCGAGCGCGCCACTGAGGATATGCAGACCAGCAGTGTTGCAACTCATGGAACTGTCGCTGACCCAACCATCAAGGAAGACGACGATGAGAACGGAGAGGATGTCGTCGAAGAAGCCGCCGAGGATACTGTCATCTATTGAGATCGCCAGGGATCCTTTGCTTCTGCCTATGCCCGTGGCCGGACCGATAGATCGCTGTTGGCAGGCCTTCATTGATACCCTTTACAATGCTGCCCTTGGACCGGTCGCCTCTTTGCCATCCGATCGCCTCAACTCGCAAAGTCTGGTCCTTCATTCTTGAATATCCGACCGTAGTATCATGAAAGCCCTAGTAACGATAGCAAACGTGCTTCGCAGGTTAATCAATGCCCGGCCATCTGTGCTCTGCGAGCTCTGTCCTAATACAAACGATACATCATTCATCGAGTCTATTTGCAGCATGTAGGTTGTCGCATGCGCTGAGGATCGCACAGTATCCTTTCGAAATTTTGAGGCAAGCACGATCGTTTGCGCTTACCGTTCCGGCACGGACGCTGGAAAACAACAACGTACAACACTCGGTTACGGCTGTGCTCGCCTCACTCTGGTTATCTGATGCACGTATCTACCTAGAACTCGGGATCGTATAGTTGGACCCCACGGTGAGTGGGGCACTACACCACTATCGCCCACTTCCGATCATAATAGTAACACTATAGCCAACACCATCTCCAACGCTCTACAGGATGCTTGACATTGCGCATCAAATGCGAAAGTGACGTGCTGAGCAAGCAACAAAGAACAGGACAGTGATGTCAGGGTCGGAACGATTACATACCCCACAGTTTCAGTGTACCTCGGCATGCACGCATCTAACAGCCCATCATGAATCTACAACTTCATCGCTGAAACCGACTCGCTTGCTCACCGCCATCATCACACAAGAGTGACCTTACTACTACTGTTATACACCCCAAGCTTCTCCCACACTCTCGCCGCAATATATTCTTCTTTTACCCTGAGTTTCATACACGTCACGTCATGTCCGTCCAACCAATTGACCCCGTGTCAGACCCTCGTGTCGAGCACAGATATGCGACACTCAACGGGCAGAAATATCATTACCTCTATGCAGTACCTCGTTCTGGCGACTACCAGCACACCGTGTTTTTGGTAAGTCTTGTTGGGTACCCTGTCATGCTTTGGCGGCATATTCCGGATCTTGTTATATTAGCGAGCATTGGACATCTAGAGATACTGACTGCCTTGGTAGATCCATGGTTGGCCCGACCTATCAATAGGATGGAGGTATCAAATCCCACTCTTAGTCGATATGGGAATGCGGGTCGTTGCGCCGGACATGATGGGATATGGCGAGACAGTAAGAAAGGCCCAGAAATCATGCTACCCCAGAAGAATGCTTGACGTGGGGATTTTTAGGACGCTCCGAAAGTCCCGCCAAACTCGATCAAGCTCTATGGACTCAAGAGAGCATCAGATGACATTGCTGCGTTGGCGAAAGAGGTCAACGCGCCGAAGATCATTCTCGGTGGCCACGACTGGTAAGCCATCGCTTGCGTGATTCAAACAAAAGGCTCGTCGACTAACACTTTACCTAGGGGAGGTTTTGTCGTCTGGCGAGCAGCTCAGTGGTATGTTTCTAGAGTCTTAATGGCCGTGATTACCCATACACAGCAGCGACTCACCCCTTTCATAGGTACCCCGACCTTGTCTCACATGTCTTCTCGGTCTGTACACCATATACTGCTCCTCATGACAAGTACATGTCCACTGAAGATCTCGCCAATGGTCCCTTGCCCCAATTTGCTTACCAAATTCACCTCGCTTCAGGTGAGGTGGAAAAGATTGTCAAAGATGAGCAGTCGATCAGGCAGTTTTTGAAGGGTATGTATGGTGCAAAGGGGCCGAAAGGTGAGATCGCCTTTGATCCTGAGAAGGGCGTGCTGGGAGAAAATCTGCCCTCAATTGGGGAAAGCAAGGTTTTGAATGGAAAGGTACGTGATGATCTTTCATGTTGCAACGCGTGTCGAGTGCGGGATCGAGAAAAGAAAAGAGTGGGGTTATATGATAAGCGACTACGATACCGCATTTCAAAAGTGCACCATGAGATGGTCGGATTGCTGGACATGTGCATTACCACCTCCGTTGTGTCGTGCAGGAAAGACGGGAAAGCGTTCCAGATGATCGGCTTGCCTCGACATGAACACACCATCTCGTGTGTAGGCCGCGTTGAGGTCGCATGATTGCATTGCGCTGTTTCAGAAAGACAGCTTGAGACCTATTCTCAGCAAGCGATGGTGTGCTAACAGCGAATCAGTACCTAGACTACTACGTCAAGCAGTACTTGAACCACGGCATACACCCCACTTGTGAGCACTCCTTCTCCCTTACTTACCCACTATTCATCCGCATAATAGCGTGTATACACATATAACCGTTGTTCTATCCACTAACTCTCTAACCCAGTGAACTGGTACCGTCAACGCCGCACAAACTGGGAAGAAGACCAAGTCCTCCTCTCCCGCAAGCAAATCACCCAACCCGTCCTCTTCATTCAAGCCACGCACGATGGTGTCCTCAAACCAGAAATGTCAAAGAGCATGGAAAACTTTATCCCTAAGCTGACGCGAGGAGAGGTAAAGGCGGCCCACTGGGCGTTGACGCAGAAGCCTGAGGAGTGCAATACGATTATCCGCCAATGGTTTGAGGGGCAGGGGTTAGTGGCGAAGAAGAAGCGAGAGAGTGCTTTGTAGGATTGAGTTCAGGATGAAGCGGAAATGTGCGATGGGATGAGCGGTCCCTTAACGGTCGAGTCAAACGTAGTGTATGTAGTGTGGGTGCGTACGTCTGCGCCGCGAGCAACTAAAATTACAGCATGTTGTCTAGCGGGCGATGTGTCTACGTTCGATCGCTTTCGTATACGTATACCTGATTACTCTTTCATGCCCGTTGATCGAGGACGGCAGATCGCTTTGTACCTACCGGGGTCAGGCCAGGAAAGCATGGAGATTGCGGCTCTATCCGTAATGGCCTGATATGTGCTTCGCAACCCCTTGTCTACATAGCGATATCGGTAATGTCTTGCGCTAGCGAGATCCTTTGCACCGATGAATTGCTAAGTGCTTACTACTGTAACCAAGATAGCGGTTCGCTCGACGGCTGCCAGAAACGGCACTTCGACGACGGCAAACGCATGTATGCGTCAGCGCACCGATAACGTTACTTTGTTGAAACATGACCTTGTGCCGACACTCATCATCGATTCTGAGGATTCGAGGAGGGATGGTGTGTGGATACTAGATCTGCATCACCGGCCTCATACCTGTGGGCCCATCAGCACACCACCTGCTGGAGTTTTCATTTGGGCGCTTCCTTCCACAGTATTTTTTGCTTCGCTTACGGTCGAGAGCAGACGTCAGGTACCTTTGGCTCGAAAGTGAAGCGTGTGATGCAGGTGGTATCTCGGTATTTCCGGAGGTTCTAACCACAAAAGTACCGGCAAAAGTAGCAGATGCGCCGTCTTGGAATTTGGCACCGGGTTGTGTGTTCTGGATCTTGTCCCGTCTTAACCATAGCAGACGGATTAGCGCTCCTTGATATTCTTCCATGCGAAGACCAGGTCGACAAGATTGTGACGATACTTCCAGCTTTTCTGGTAAAAACAATCTGGAGATATGTCGGATGCAGGTCCCTCTGTCCGTGCGCGATTCCAAGGCACTGGTACCCCGCTGTCAAATACAGCCAGTAAGGTAGCAGCATTAAGCCCTGTGGCGGCTTCGTGGTTGTGAGTAGGTAGCGAGATGCCACGCTTTTGCGGAAGAAAGCTGATGCGGAGAGGTGCCTCCGAAGACTCTGCAGCTTCTTCTGGTCGGGATACTACGATAGGGGATGCGGTGCCTTTACATCCGGCAGACCGCCTCTGCTAAGGAGTACGTACTCAAAATGTCCAGGATGGTGGTGGTTGGATATGCCGTGTGGCGCTGACCAGCTTTCGGGAAGCGACTAATGTGAAATCCCTCACCGCTGCATCACCAAGATGCAAGCGCCTGAGATATATTCAACGTAAATCGCGAAAACGTGCGCAAGTTGGTAAACGGTGCGGAGTGCATTCAAACTGGGTATGATAAACCCTCCTCACCGCTTACCGCTTCTAGAGGCCCATGCGTGAGGGTCGTGGAGTCGGTCGCTTGATGATGCATGATCCCGGCGTTCTTGTACGTTCATTGACGGAGTCTATAATAGCGCTGAATATAGCTAGGTAGTCCGTCGAGAGAAGCGGCATGTGTAATGTAAATGAGGACTTGCTTATCGGTAAGTCTGTTATTCGATTACATCTCGTAGCTTGTTGCGCCGGAGCAAGAAGCGGACTGGCTGGACAGGCACATTAGGTATGTTCGTTAGTCCAGTCGTAGCGAATGCGGGCCCGCAAAGAAGTTAATCTCAACATCGCTGGGTCACGGTCTGATCCACCATGGTGCTCTGCCATGCAACGTTGATGGACAAAGGACGACTGGTCCACAACGTCTCTTTTGCCGTCCCGCTGCAGCATTGTGCTCGGCTGCGTGCCAGATGGTTGTTGTCGAGTAATAGACCAGGTCGGTCGGTCGGAGAGATACGTACACTCCCGAGGCCATTTTGTGGGACGGCTTACCAACGACATCTCATCTTGCTCGTGGCCGCACCCTTGTCAATTGCTGGGTCTGCCATGTACCCGCGATCACCGTTGCTCCTGCCAATCCTTCATGACAAGTGCTCGACCTCATTCTTCGGTCGAGGTCGTAGATCTGAGACGGCATTGCAGCACGCTACCGGTGTTTCTTCGCCATGGTCATGCAGACAATAGCACATGTCAATCTCGATGGTCTTTTGGTGGCCACACCTCGGTCGGAGGTGCAGCTGTTGACTGTTAGCTATGCCTTGGGCCAGTCGTTCGTGCAGTTGGCGTTGAGGTCGCTCCGATAAGAGGCCCTTGTACTTTCCTGTCCCGACAGTTTGGTTCTGCGTAGGACGAATTTCGTCAATGGGCTGCTCCTCGGTAGCCAAACCACGACCCATGTCCGACCTCCAACCGACATTCAGCCAACGGGCCTCTTACCACACCCACCACCGTTGCCCCAGAAGGATCCCGCTAAGGGGCCGCACTACGGGACTGACACCATGATCCCCAGAGTAGTCCAGTCTGAAGGCGCGCCGTTGAGCGTGAGCCGTTCGCACATGGGCAATATATCCGGGAATTTATATTGCAAAAGTGACTTCCGGAAGTCTTCTGGAAAATCACCCAAGTACGCTAGCCAGTCAGCGGTCGAATTTTCCCGTCGGCATGCAGGCCTCGAGGGTCCAAGATTGAGGGTGCACCGGGGGTTGTGGACGACTTATGGTTTGAGCTTTGGTTTAGCGGTAAAGACGTGCTAACGCCGAGACAGGACAGCCTGCATATCAGGCTGATGTTTCGCGCGTCGAATCCAGGGATCCATGACTCTGCAGGGCCACTACAACCGACAGGTTCGGTGCAGCAAATTCCAATACAACCTTTGGAAGCGGGCTCCACAGCCGCGCAGACTGCCTTATCGCTGTTTCACGACGGCGCCGGGTTTCTGATAGACGGCCACTACACAAGACAAGACGTGGCCACCACAGACGCCGCATTATGACCGTTGCTCCTATATCGCATCTTACGAGTGCACATCCCGGAGCTACATGGTATTGATCCGGCAAAACGAGACTAAGAATGCTTGAGTTTCTACCAGCTAGTTCGCTGGGCAAATTGCAAGCCTTCCCGGTTGTGTATCCACAAGAAGATCTAGCCTCATACATACACTCAGAGTAACGGGATAAAGAAAAGACTACGCGAAGCCTACCATACCAAGTAGCTCTGGTCGCGCATCCCTATCCATGCTCGTCCCGCCAGTATGATACGCCTAGCAAATGACGTGGAACCTTGGAGTCTCTCTCATGCGATACCATTATCTCGCCGATTGCACCAACCTCAGGCAAGCCCAGCTTGTCCCAGGCCACCGTTGATCGAAATGGGCCTTCTCAACAAGTATATCAGCCTCCACGTTCCCGTGGGGTGCTCTTCTGCTAGCTATCTCTCCCTCACTTTTTCCCGCTTCATTGCCACCATCCCCCATACTTTCAAATCTTTCTCGTAATGGCTCCCTCAGCTCTCGCAGATATCTATCCAATCCCAGCGAGGCACTACTCTAAGTCATCGACTGTAGTAGCTTCGGTCCTACACGGGCCAAGGGATTTGCGGCTGGTATGCCTTCCTCTTCTGTTACACATCCCACGTCTACCCACTGTTCGTGGGGGTTTTGGTGTATATCGAACACCTTAGACTTGAAGCTAACGAATCCAAACAGGAAACTCGAACCATTACTGACCCTGCCGCCAATGAACTCCAGATCGCTATCAAGGCTACTGGGTTATGCGGGAGCGATTGTTCCTACTACAGCAAGTTCTGCAACGGGGACCTGCAGGCTTGTGAGCCGCTATCCTTGGGCCACGAGTCTGCCGGAATTGTGGTCGCCATAGGCCAGAGTGTCACCGGTTACCAGGTTGGCGACCGCGTTGCTCTGGAGGTAGGTGTGCCGTGCGACAACTGCAGGTCATGCCAGCGCGGACGCTATAACCTGTGCCCGAAGATGAGGTTCCGGAGTAGCGCCAAATCGGTACCTCACTTCCAAGGAACGCTTCAGGAACGCATCAACCATCCTGCAAAATGGTGCCACAAGTATGTCGTGCATGATCGACCCGAAACCCGAATCTTAGCTGACAACTCTATCCAGACTACCTGCTCATGTGTCCATGGAATCGGCTGCGCTTCTAGAGCCTCTTTCTGTTGCTATACATGCAACAAGAAGAGCCCAAATCGAGCAGGGTGACACGGCCATTGTTTTTGGTGCAGGCACGGTCGGTCTTCTTACAGCTGCGATGGCCAAGGTGTCTGGCGCCACAACCGTCGTCATCGCAGACATCGATTATGGACGTATAAACTACGCCTTGGCAAACGGCTTCGCGCACAAAGGTTACATTGTGACCCCACACAATGCGACCGAGACTGCCGAAAAGTTCGCGGTAGCTAAGGAGTTGGCTGCGGATGTCATGCAGATTGCTTCGCAGAATGAGATCGATTTCGAAGGTGCTGACGTTACCTTTGACTGCACTGGAAAGGAGATCTGTATGCAGGCTGGGTTATACGTAAGTATATTTCGAAGCGGTATATGAGCGTGGATCTAACCTCCTGCAGGCGACAAGGCCTGGTGGCAAGCTCATCATGGTTGGAATGGGCACGCCAATCCAAACACTGCCCATGTCGGCATCTCATCTAAAGGAAGTCGACATCCTGGGAATCTTCCGTTACGCCAACACCTACCCAACCGGCATCAAGATCTTATCTGCTGGTGTACTTCCAAGTCTCGACAATATGATCACTCACAGGTATCATGGATTGGCATCGACAAAGGAAGCCTTCGAGCTCGCAGGCAAGACAGTCGACAAGGATGGCAAGCTCGTCCTCAAAGTTCTTGTTGAGATGTAGGAAACTCTCGGTCTACGAATGACTGAAAACATGTACATTCGCTTTTTCGGGTATGTATAACGACATGATAGAAACGACTTAGAAGATGGACTGGAAGACATCGATCCCGGTCAGGCGTTTTAAAGGCAGCTCTCGGATTCTGGATCAAGACAGAGATACCATTCGCTTTTGGGTTGTGTGTGCTTTGGAGTTGGTTGTGCTGGAGTAACCAGCTAGTGTTGGCGATCAATGCAAAGATCTGGAGTTCAGCCCAGACTGTAGATTTCAATGCTATGATCATCCCCAGACGGAAATTACACACTTTTTTTTCAATTGTCTGTTAGTGGAATCTCGTGATGAGTGAAGTCGTGTAAGCAGAACAGTCGCCAATCTTCTAGGAATCGCGTCGCGCTGCAGTCGCGTTGAGCTAGCGCAGAGTGGTAAGCGCCTTGGCACAACCCCACGAATTGTGGCAGCTGCAGCCTAGGCAAGCTCCCCACCAAGACCATATCATCGCAATTGCAGTTCCACCTTCCCCAAAAGCTCTCACCCACCTCCTCGACTACCGCGAAACTCAAATAAGGAGACGACAATACTCCAGCAGACATGGCAGAGTCATCAGGGAACCCACTCGTTTCAACGACCCGCGCCTCTGACGCAAGTCCGACAGTACAACTCCATCCGCTAGTACTCCTCACAATAACAGACTGTGTCACACGACACACACTACGACAGCAGACAGGACCAGTGGTCGGGGCTATATTAGGTGCACAAGATGGCCAGAACATCACCATGGAGGTTGCTTTCCAAGCAAAACTCCAGTCGAACCAGGATGGCGAGACGGTGCTTGATGACGAGTGGTTTAGCAAGCGTATTGAGGACTGTAAGCTTTAGTCTACATTTTCTGCATTTATGGCTGAATGAGGCTTACGAATACTCAGTCAAGGACGTACACAAAGAACCCCAATTAGATATCGTCGGCTGGTTCACTCTCGGTCCCGCCTCCGGCCCAGAACCCCACATCCTTCCTATCCACTCGCGCATATCAGAAATCTACACCGAATCTCCGCTGCTCGTATTGTTCCACCCCGAGAACGCATACTCCAAAGAAACTGCCGCTGGAAAGCTGCCCCTCACTGTCTACGAGTCCATCTCCGTCAATGTGTCGAGCGAGCCAAATGACAAAGCTATGGACATCGACGGCGCTGTACAGGCAAAGTCGACCAAGTTCAGGGAGTTAGTATACTCGATCGAGACCGGTGAGGCGGAGATGATATCTGTCGACTTCGTTGCCCGCGGAGGTGGCAACGCTACTGCAGTAGAAGGCACAGCAGACGTAGCGGGCGCAAAGTCCGAGTCTTCCAAGACCGACGAGGGTACCGGCAAGAGAAACACACGGGGAAAGCAAAAGGAGAAGCAAAAGGAGAAGGAAAAAGAGAAGGAGACCGACGCTCCTATCGACGAGTCTGTCATCTTGACCCCAGACGACGACGAGGGTAGGACCAAGCAGTTCGATCTTGATCTAGTGCCGGTATACTGACATTTGCATAGTTCTCTCTTCACTCACAGCCAAAATGAATGCTATTCGCATGCTCAGTCGGCGAATAATGCTTCTCCGCGCGTACCTCGACTCCCTTCCAACGTCGTACCTCTCCGACCCATCACTGCCGGTCGACCCTACACCGGACGCGCAACACCCCCTACCTCTAGATCACTCAATCCTTCGCAGTGTATCCGCCATGCTCGCTCGACTCAATATCCTGGGCCCACCAGACTCTGCCGCTTTCACACTCGAGTCCCAACAAGAAGCTTCCGACGTGCAGCTAGTCAACCTACTAGCATCCATCACAAGCTCCGTTTCCCTAGCCAAGGACCTTGGCCGAAAGAGCTCTATCGTTGAACATGGCAAGAATCAGGGAAAGAAAATGATGCACGGTGGCATGGCCGACTACGGTGGCTATAATCCAGGACGCAACTACGGTGGTGGCGAGGGCAACTTCTTCAATACTGTTATGGGCGAGGGATCTGGTGGCGACAGGTGGTGATCCCTGTCAATCCATCTATACTCTTCGCACATGACGAGACTGCGTTGCTGATGACGCTCTAGACCAGCAAAACAACGGATCGTATGCCTTGCAGATGGTGGTCATCCTGATGCGCTATTCGATCCAGAAGATCTTGATATGATTTATGTAGAGAGATGGTGGCATTTCGTTCTAGCAATTCTTAGCATGGGGCCAGCCTATCTCCTCTTGTTCTTTATGAGCCCGCTTATACTGGGTCTTTTCGCAGTAGGGTTTGGCTACTGGACAGGCTGGGGGACTTATAGAGCTGTGCGCTGGTTAGGGAGAGTAATGCTGCAAGCACTGAGAATTGCTCTCCAAGCTTTACGGGGTCTGATTCGTCGAGTTCAGCGATGAGATTTCTGCATAGCATTTGGCGCATGGATGATTCAATAGACACATGGGAATGGAAGGTCATGACATGACATCATAGCCGGTACATGAGTAATGAAAAAAAGGGTACTTCGATACCTTTGTTTCTATGACTTCTCAAAGCCTCATGAACTTAACACATGAAATTTTGGAAACTCCAAATACCCATCATCTGCACTCTTTGGTTGTCGTTTTCTTACTGGAACCGCCCGTTTGCTGTCCTCATGTACCCTAACCATCGGCGGATCAGGAATGAATCTGCCTTCTGGTCCTTCGAATGCTCGTGCTTCCCGTTGTGAGACTAGAAGTAAGTCACTGTAGTACTTTGTTCTGTCAGCATCATCTTGTAGTCGCTGTTCGAGCAACTTGCGCTGCTTATTGCAGGCTGTTCTTGTTGAGTTGAGACTTGACGATTTTATGGGTGAAGATAGAGGAGAGGCTGGAGTTGTCGTGAGTGTAGGTATCTCCGACGAACCGTCAACCCACTGTGACGGCAATTCAGTCGGTGTGGATGGCGAGGAGGGTGACTTTGATGCTCTTGTGGTGATATCGAGGTCACAGAGCAGTATACTCAAGTCTTCCGTGGTTTGTTGGGGTTGATGATCCGTGTTAATCGTAGAACCGTTGACCACTGTCCAGAATGCTTGGATGATGAGTTCAATCTGCTCTTTTTCGAGCTTTTCTCTGATGCTCAAGCCGTTCATGCTGACGTCTACGGACATGGGAGGCGCCTCCGCTTCAGGTCCCCATGCAATGAGATCCTTCTCGTCGATCTTCAGCGTATGGTTCTCTTTTTGAGATTTGACAATCGGAATCGAGTTCTCGCTGTTGTCATTATCCCACCTCCATCTAGTCTGATCAAAGTCAAGCACAACCTCCCCATCATTTGAAGCCTCCAGTTCTTCGCTCGAAAAATGGTTAAAGATCCAACTCCCATCATCATCATCGTCGGGTGGGTGTGAATGATCGGTACTGACCGGGTGGATCGGATCGGTGCTCGCAATGTAATCGCCATCATAGTCATGATCGTCCATCTCAGCCCAGTCCTTCTCTTTCAAGTCAACGACATCTTCTGGCTGTACTTCTTGTTTCAACGGCGAGCGCACTATCCTATAGTCGCTAACGCTCACCCGCGCCACACTCTTCTTAAAAGCGTGTGAGATGTTGCGTGCACCCCATGAAGCCCTATGGTACTGGTCTTCGAGCTCCTTAACCAGAGCAGAAACCTCAGGCGTTCCTAGCATCCGCCTTTCAATCAGCTTAGATAGAAATGTTCTTGCTCGTTCTAATTTGCATGTCCAGTCGCTCTCCCAGCTCGCGTGCTCACAGGTATTGCATTCAGTTCGAGCATATACAGTGAGGAACGATTCCGCCGTGCACGCAGCTTTTATACTCGTCCGGGTCATCTTGTGTTTCGTACCTTTGCAACGCGATCTCCGTAGGCGTAGCGTATGTTGACATCTGTAGTAGAGATGGATGACGTTGCACATGGCTACTTGGCGTTGTTGTTGAGCGTTGATTACAACTGGACTGCAGCTGCTAACTTCTTGTACCGCGTAAAGTTGATGGTTCAGAGGACAGCCAGGAAGTTCATGGGTATCTTGTGCACGTACAATCGTTTTCGTATCTGTGGTGGTACGAAATTGCTGTGGACTGACGGGCACAGTGATCACTAACTGTAAAGCGTTGCCATAGCTATCACCCAAACTTTCCGCATATTGCTGCTCGAGGTGACGTGGAAAAGGTGGGGATGTCTAGGTAAAGGTAGGATAGTAGCTAAGACGCAGTTAGTCATTGCCTTTGTGCATTCATATTCAGCTACAGACCCATGTCGACAGTGAATGAACATTTTATGAACAAGAATAGAAGTGGGTGCCTAGCGAATATATGACAAGCGTAATCATAATTGAGGAAAGAGCTACCCGGCCTGACGCGACTTCTCACGGCGCGCATTCACGTGCGCTAGCGTACGATGGGAAGTACGACAACACCAAAACACGTGCGCATGTAGGGAGATGGAACTAGGGGTCATGGAGCATTGACGCACGATTAACATATAATTTATGCAGGAAGAAAGACCAAACCCGTCCCATTACCCCAATCCGAACCTACCAAATACCAGAAGAAAAAGATGCATCCTTTTGATGACCATGAAGTCAAATACACAGCTTCCCAGAAGCCCTAGAAGGAAGAAAAACGAAAAGTAACGTTGCGTCGTTACACATTACGTATGAGAGTCATTACATGTATACAGAAATGTCCCAATTCGGCATAAACAAATATCCCAAAATGGAAAACGCCATCACGGAAACGACGAAAGAGAGACTTTAGTATCGCACCACAGGCGACGCGCTTGTGCTGCCTTCTTGCACCAAAACGCCTTCTTTGACACCCTCCTTCTCCATCTTATGCATCCAGTCCTCTTTCTTGTCCTTTTTATGCATCCAGCCACTGAAAATCTTCTTCAATTTCGATTTTTGCTCTTCTCGGCCTGGAGTCTTGGGCTCGTTCGAAATGGTTTTCTGCGCGGATGATGTGTCTACGCTCATCTTGCGCGAGAAAGTGGACGCGTCGGCACTCTTGTTGCCGTTCGAGGCAGAGCCACTGTCTCCACTCCTTTGGCGAGTATGGTTGCCGGAGCCCGGTTCGAGACGCTGGTCGAGGTTGCTAGTGGAAGACCAGCCAGTCATTGTATGCCCGGCGTTTGTCGGACTCCCTGGTTGTGTTCGTACGTGCTGGGGGATAGCTTTGGTGTCCTGCTTACGGGACGACTTCCGCACAGGGAAGGCATCGTTGGCATGCATGGCCTGCGTATCAGATCCGCTCTTCCTGTGTTTCTTCGCAGCAGAGGGAGAACGCTCTTGGTGCTGTTCTTGTGGACGCATTAGACTTGCAATGTGTGTTTCAGCAGTAGGAGACATGGGCGACTTTGGCGATGCTACCTTCTCCTCTGCAGGCTCTTGGAAATCCTTCCATGTGTCTAGGCTGGGTAGTGGTGGTAGCTCTTTGGTCAAGTTGATGCCACCAGACTCTGACTTCCTTGGTTGAGCCTCTTCTGATTGTCCCTTGGAAGTACCCGGTCTGCTGTTGCTCCTTGAACTTAACTTGCGGGCAACACCCCAGCTACGCCATCCTGATTTCGAGTCACTACGTGTGAGACCTTGGTCATCGTCGGCTGAGGGACGAAGGGAATCCTTGGATTGCGCGCGGCTCAGGGCCCGACTGCGGGAGCCGGGAAAGACGTATTCTCTGACACTTTCTTTGATGCTCGCAGCACGACTTGGTGGTCGGACCGAGGTGTTGGATCGGCCCCGAGGTTCTGAGGCTTCTTCCCGTCGCTTCTTCTCGAGTTCTGAACGCATCCACTCTGCGGCTTGTGCGTCTGCGACTGCAGCAGGGTTGTCAGAATGGTGGGATAGCCTGTTCATACTCCTGTAGTTGGGCAGAGATGCTGAGTTGGGCACTGAAGACGACATCTTGGCATTGGCAAAGGTTGATGTCACGGCCACGGGGAGAGTGACATCTTCATCGGAGTCGTTGCGGAAGACAGCCGAGCGCGGTACGTCCATGGAAGTCTTGCCATATGTTCTCAACTTCTCCTCCCTCTCTGCGTCCCGTTCGTCGAGCCATCCAAAGTCAGCTCGCTTACGACTGCTATTCGCGCGCGCGGGCATGTCTCCGTATGTCCTGTTTCTGATCTCCTGGTCCGCCTTCGCTCGTGTCCGGGTCTTGGTGCTGGGCTTTCGCATCATAAATGACGTCGATGCCGCCGACAGCTCCGGGGGCGCGCCGGTGGGCATACGGACACTAACCTCAGCAGCCTGTGGTTTACTCTCCTTCCGTCGGGGACCAAGTCCCCCAAAGTCGAGCTTCGGGTCTGTGTTCTCCATGCCATGATCGGATGGCTTGAAGTTTTGCAGAATATGCCGACATGCTAGGCGCAATTCGAGTTCGGTATGTTCATCGAGGACACGGCGGTTGATCCAGGGCGACGAATCGCATATACTGTCTTTGGAAGTATGTCTCTTGTGTGATGACGAGGGCTGTGAGGGAGTTGGTTCTGGCGTGGGCTTATCGAGAAGATCTGACTTGGAGGCAATCTTCTGTACAGCGGTGAGTTAGTGCTGGGAATGCAGTTGGAGGTGAAGAAGTAGAGATAGGACATACGACTGGCGCCAGGTTGAAAGAAAACTTGCGCTGCTTCATGGTTGATTAGGGTAGCTATGTAGGCCAAAAGTACTATGTTGGAATGGAATATTTGTGCAGAGGCGTGGTACAAGTGTTGCGGTTGCAACGACGACGTAACGGGTGCGCGCGCGCGAGAAGTCGGCGGTGGATGTTGTATGGTCGGCTAGGAATGGCTAGGCGGAGCTACTCGCGACTACTGCATGCATGCGGGAACTTTTGACGGTTTGGCGGAACAAAAAGGTGGTGACGTGCCTTGGGTTGGCATGCATCGAAATGCGGTGGAGACCAAAAGGCAGGCAGGAACCTCGAACAAGTTTGGGACAGGACGATAGGTATAATGCGCGTTGGTGGTGTGCACCGGCCCGACCAGGAGGTGTTGGAGTTTCAGAGTGGCAGCTAGCATTAGACAGGATGCAGCCGACGACCAGCCCTGGAGAGTCTCGATGCCGTGTAGAATGCGCAGGCAGCCAATCAGCCGGACGCACGCCTGAAGCCTCTACGACGGTCAAATCTGCGCGTCGTCAATCAAATCATCGTCGCCCACCCGCACGCGCCTCGTCGAGACGCCCAACAGCCACAGCCCGTGTTGTTTACCCTTGCAGCAGCCAGCCCGCCCTGGTCGTCGGCGGAGGCAGCGATCGTGTGCCCCTTCCCAGCAGAACCAGACTATCGAAAATAAGCGGCGCTGCGGCCCCACGAATGAGAGTCTACAAGGGCCGCGGACATGACCTCGATCCAGAGACCGCATTCCAGATGTCCATACACACGAACGCACTCCATCAAACACGAAGTCGCTCCTTTTTGCGACCCAGCGAACGACTGTTGGCCTGTTTCACACTAAGACATCCCCTCCCATTCCATCATCCGCTGCTGTCCTCCTACCGCTGCCTTCACCGCTGCAATACTAGCACTGTTATTGCACCCTTAAGGCAGGGGCGAAGCTTTGCATCGGCGAGAAGAAACTTCCTCGACCCTGGCAGGGAACCTTCCGCGACAACATCCTGGGAATAACCCGACGGGTTATTGTGTGCTGCCGTAGCGCACTGGCTCTCGTGGACAGGCCGACAAACGGTCGCTTCATCGCTCCATCGCTGCTGACCGAGCTTCCCTCATCGTCATAGTATGCGTCATCCAAGCATTCGTTTTGCGTCTCAGTGTTTCGTTATCAGCACAGTCGACCAAGCTTTCAACCGCATGTGGTCAGTTATCTGGTTGAGTTGCGGGTCCCCTCTTGGTGAAGTGTGCCGGCTAAAACTGCTAATATTCACCGCCCAAGCTATCCGCATCTGGTCTCCAACTCTCACAGCATTTCCCGGCATGTCACTCGTTAGGCGCGCAGATCGCTGATCCACCACCTGGTTATTTTCGTTCGGTGACGGTATTGTGTAACCACGGTGCCAGATCGAAACAAGTCCATAGTAAGCCACTGCACCGACCACCCGGAACGCCAATACGCTACAACGGCACCATTCAACGGCCTTACTTTCAGTGCAGCACCTGTACACATAATAAGCACTGCGCGAACACGAAATCCAGCAGCAGCAGGGCTCATGCAGTGCCTTGTGCGACATGTCCAAGCATACGACAATCCTCGCTCACTCTCTATCACGCGTACAGGATATGACTCACGTTGGAATCAGCTCGACTTCTTTGTAGGTTCTTCGACTAGGCGAGATTGCGCGATGATCTCAGTAGTGCCAAAATCCATGTATCGAAAGCAGATGTTACTTCCGCATCTAGAGCTATCGATATTGCTCGGAACAGAGAGACGCCGTAGAACTTTGGAAGACCGGCAATGCAATACCAGCCTAGCAGTCCTGCTGACCGGAGGAACAGAGACACTGACCATGGTTATTCCACGCAGCTTTCATGCAATATCCAAGGGATCTTGCCGCTTCCATCAAGCACTATGCGTTACATACATCATGACTATACGAGTAGCTTCACGTGATGCCTCAACTTGTAACACCTAACCTATGAGTACAGTCATTGCAGGAAGTTCAAGAGCTTGGATTGTTGGTTTGTCGGCAATGGTTGTAGCTTCTACATGAACTGACATAGTCAGAGCAGCGCATAGGCTATAGAGTCAACAACGCGGACTGATACACTTCCAATGAACCGACAATGTATCGTGCCGGTATGCTTCTCTCCATGGGCTATACACCCCTTTGGAGATGAAGAACCCAAGAGTACAGACGCCACGACCGTCAGATCAAAAGCTCCCACGAAACTCAACTAGCACGGCAACTACTGTCTGGGAGTATGCCGTTCTTTTATACCTTGCACTGAACTACCTACTCCGAGATAACCCGCGACATGTTCAGTATCGTGAGAAAGTCAGACAAAGTGAACGGTCGACATGGAGCACTCGTCACGATCGACAGCCTTTCGATCCACCAAAACATCAAAGCAAAGCAGCGCATCACAACGGCCTCAAAAGCGACAGAGAGTCAAACTCAGGCTATCAAGTTCATAAGAGATCGCAGACGATACCCACCCAGTCATATTTCCAACCCCATAACAAGAGACGGGATGGTCATCATGATGAGCATGTCTACCCTTTCACGACTGACCCGAAAAGTCCAAATCTGAATATATCGAGAGCACAAAAGAGCGAGGCATGGGGCCGGATAAGAGCCGTGTCCGAATTGTCAGGCTATCCTGCCAGTACTCACAAATGGCAAGATGGAGGAGAGAAGCGAGCAAAGAAAGTACGATGGGGAGTGATACAGACCCACCGGTTCGAGTCCGAGACTGCGGCAGATGACAGAGACACAGCAAATCAACACGACCCCTAGAAAGAACAGAATCACATTCATGGCAGTCATGTAGCCGACTAGGTGAGAAGAGGAGAATACGCAAGAGAGGAAGTCTGGGCATATATCAAGACGGAAGGTAAGCACTAACATCGGGATCCTGCAAAGTAAGCGATGGCCAAATCCAATGACCTCAACTACCGTCTTATAAACGACACTACTTGTTTAGGCAAGTGTTATCACAAACGATGTCCTCGAAGCATGTTAGTCATACAAAGCAAATGAAAACCATAGCTAGATTCACTCGCCCAGGCTGCACTACCATTACTCATCTCCTAGGTCAATCAAATGAGTCGGTCCTGTCGACTCGATGGTGGCGTCGTGACACACCCAATGGGGCTAAAGCTGCCGACTAGCGCTTTCTCCACATTATGAGGAGGCGCCGCCCTGGTCGACCACCATGCTCATTCCCGTACATGCATCATATCTGTCATGCTTCGTCCGCTAGTTGCAGAAGTCCTTGTATGGTGCGTATGTTTGTAAAGTTTTATCAATCTTTCCCAATGCTGCATGTCGATGATAGTGTAGCAGCTGTATGTCAATGATGGCAATTCTGTGACAACCTCGGGAACCAACGCTCGGGTATGTGGTGAGGGGAAGGGACCACAAGCTACTTCGGACCGGATACGTCTCGACACGATCATTCGCTGAGCGACCAGTAGTGTTACACCGTGCTGCTTGCTCATCTGCAAAATCCGCTTCGAACCCGATCATGTGGATAGCCTTCGCTTTGCGTCTTCGCCCATCTTCTTGCTTCCTCCCGAAAACTACATCTTCAAACGTGCCTCCGTGATCGTCCACTTCCTTTCTGCGGACACCATTAGAGATAGCTACATCGATCATAATGGGTGGCTCGCAACCATGGCCGCAAGTTCCGGTCGGGAATAAAGACCACACTGACGCTGCAGTCGTTATCATTGGAGCCGGTATCTCTGGTAAGTAGTCCTACAAAGGTCTTGAGGTCCAATGCTAACCTCGCCGAGGTATGTGCATGGCAATCGACCTCATTAAGCGCAACCAATGCCACAACTTCATCATTGTTGAGAAGAGCTCCAGCGTCGGCGGAACATGGCATGACAACAAGTATCCAGGTTGTTGTTGCGATGTTTGGAGCATGTTGTATAGTTATTCATTCGAACAGAATCCGGATTGGACTAGAGAGTACCCTGGCCAAGAGGAAATACTTGTATGTGTCCCCACGATTTCTTTCCTTCCTTGGCTTTGTCTCACTCTATTGCAGGACTATCTTCGCAACGTAGCCCGCAAATACAACCTCTACAAATACATCCGGTTCAACACATCAGTCGAATCCGCGACATGGGACGATTCCAAGAACCGTTGGAAGGTCGACGTCAACGTGACTGGTGGTAAAGACGCAGAATTCAATCCTGCTTATAGTATCGAATGCGACTTTTTAGTCTCAGCTGTTGGCCAGCTGAACCAGCCACAATATCCAGAAATTGAAGGGTTAGGAGACTTCAAGGGCAAGATCATGCATTCGGCGCGTTGGGATTGGAGCCACAGCCTTGAGGGCAAAAGTGTGGGCATCATCGGTAACGGTACGTGTGACATTCATCACTCGGGAAAACAAAACTGATCAAAATTAGGTGCTACTGCTGCTCAAATTATTCCCGAGATCTTGCCACAAACATCCTCATTGACAATCTACCAACGAACTCCAAATTGGGTCATTCCACGTCTCGATGGGCCCGTCAGCGCCTTCAAACGCGCAGTACTGCGCTACCTTCCCCCAGTTCGCTGGCGCATCCGAGCCAACATGATGGACTTTCGCGAGTCTTTCTATGATGCCGTAACAGACAGCAGCAGCGAGTTCGCGGAAGTCATCCGGAGTAGCTGCATAGAGATGATGAAGACGCAGATCCCCAACCAGCCCGACCTCTGGTCGAAACTCACCCCAGACTACAGTCCAGGTTGCAAGCGCGTCATCATATCCGACGATTATTACCCCGCCGTTGCCAGCCCCAAGACAACCCTTGAGAGCAACAAAATCCGTCGTATCACGGAAACCGGCATCGAGCTCGAAGACGGCACGCATCACGAGCACGACACCATTGTCCTTGCAACAGGTTTCCGCACAGTAGAGTTCCTGCACCCCATCAAAGTAACCGGAACGCAATCACGACCTCTAGCAGAAATCTGGTCTTCCGGCGCCACAGCCTTGTACGGGACGACGATCCCTTCCTTGCCCAACTTTGGACTCTTCTACGGACCCAACACAAATCTGGGCCACAACTCCATCATATTGATGATCGAAGCACAGTCTCGGTACCTCAACACGCTCGTCTCTGCTGTACTCGATGCCCGAAACAGGGGCCAGAGGATGGGCATCATGCCCAAGGAAGACAGAACGCATGAATGGAACGAGGGAATTCAGCAGATACTGAAGAACAGTTCTTTCGCGGATCCAAAATGCAATAGTTGGTATAAAAATAAGGAGGGAAGGATTACTAATAATTGGTCCGGGACTGTGATTGAGTATCAGGAGATGCTTGCAAAGGTTGATTGGGAGGATTTCGAAACAACGACTGGTGGTGGTAGTGCTGCGCATTCTGATGATGGTGTGATGGTGGAGAAGAGTACTGGAGGAGTGAGCGCCAGTAAAGTTGTGTTTGGTACCGGGAAGCAAGAGACGAAGATTGGAAGGGTTCATGAGGAGACACTGGTCAGTAATACTACGTTGGTGCTTGGCACACTGAGTGCAGTCGCTGCAGGTGCAGCATGGGTGTATCGGGGTAGGTTGCCCAAGAGACTGGGACTGCGAGCTTGATCGTGGTTCATTAGTGTGAATATATTTGTGTGATATCAAAGGAATATGCAAAATGTATAAACAATCTCTCTTCCACTTTTCAGTAGAGCCCCAATTCCGCCTTAAAACCCCTGTCTCTCTCTCCACCTTTCTTCCCATCCCTCAAACCAAGGACTTTCATCCAACGTCTGCGGCTCCCAGTCCTTCTCAACCAAACCTTTATCAATCTGCTCCCTATGCCACTCTTCTAAGTTGGGCATAACAACATGCTCCACATGCCACGTCCCCTTGTACTCCATCAACTCCTTCTTTCCCTCCTTCAACACCTTGAGCAGCAAGCCGGGAACGTATTTTTCCTCCCTAAACTCTTCGATCGGGGTAAAGAGCGCTTTGAAATTGAACACGACGGCCCCGGACAAAGGGAGCCGACGGAGTGTTTGCCAGTCTACGCGAAGATGGATACGCGAAAGGGGTAGTTCGGAGGGAGGTAATTGTTGGTTGCGCAGAGCTTCGTGGGGGTCACCAGGTGGCATGTAGAGCGGAGTATCGATTTCTAGGCCCCAGGAACCGCGCTGAATGGGCTTTTCTGTCGGCTTTTTGGCGAAGTATCTACGAGATTAGGGTTAGGAGGTGCAAGCATGACATCGATGAGACATACCTGTCCATGGAGAACTGCATCTTTTCCTTATAGTCTGGGATAGGCTTGTGTATACCTGCGAGTTCAAGCCCGATTTTCGACCCCACATTCCAGCCCAGTGCACTGCAGATAACGCCGGCTCGGAATACGTACAATCCTGTTTTCTCGTTCCGCAGCATGAGGGCAAAGTCTTCAGGGATGTTGTTAAGAAGAACGTGTAGAGGTAGGGTCGTAATGAGATCAGTGTCTGTCTTCAGGATATCGTTGTGGAATATTCTCTTATCGGATGATAGGCTGAAGTAGTGCGGATACCTTGTGCATACGAACTGCAACACCATCTCCATTAGTTCTTTGCAGGCGAGCTCTGAGCCTGGTAGGGCTTGAAGAACTGCTTCCCCATGCTCTGCAAACAAGGCCTGCCGCTGCTTGATGCTCTCCTCATATGTGTTGTGGAGTTCAATCCACCAATCAGTTTGCATCTTGGTGATGGCTATTGATGATCAGCACAGTGCCAGAGACGGATGTCAAGATAACATACACATTGTTTGGTGGTAAGACCATCTAAACGGCCTATATGGGCGGGGTAATGCCTTGTTTATGTCAAACTCTGGGTAAGGGTTGGGAAGAGGCACGCCACTGAGTGTAGCGTAGTCCGGAAAGTCGCCGAGAGCTTTTATCTCCTTCACCGAGAAGCCACATGGGAGGAAGGCAGAGTCGTCAGCATCCATATATGACGTTTCCATGGGTAAGACCCTCTTCTGCCATCCCGGGGTTGGCCCCTGGGACTCATCCTTATTCTCGTTCTTAGTCTCGGTCAAAACGAAGCGTCGTGATGGTGGGAAGGTGTCAGAGTAATCGATCTCGGTGGCAGAGACGGCCTTCTTCCCTGGTGATAGAGACCTCGGAGGAGTTTTTGCACCTGACACTCGTCGACCGCCGTTGCGTAGCCGCTGTAGGAGAATGTTGCGCTTGCTTCGCTGTAACAAAAGAAAAGCTGAACTGAGGATGAAGGCTAATCCTAGTAGCAGTAAAAGGTTGATAGCCATGTTGAGTTGTCTTTGATCCTTCTAAATCACAAATTATGTCCTGATCAACTGTCGAAACAACCCAACTCCTTCTCTTCTATGCGATTAGTGTTGGCAAGGATGATCAGACATCAATGCTGAATGGACGACGATGGCGACGATCTGAATGCAAGGTGTCTATATGTTGAAAGATAGGAAAGGGGCATATTCTGGTACGTAGTACAGTCGAGGACCAAGAATGACGGCCTTATCATTAAGATGCGGGGCGGGGCGACTTCTACATACATGTACGCAGCGACCTGCGAGACTACCCAGGAAAAGTAATTACCGCGCCACGACTGCACCCAAGCGAGTAGAATGACGATATCTTCTCGAGAGGGTGAGAGATGGGCCGCAATTACTAGGCTGATGTCGCTGTATGGGTAACACTATCATGGGTTTGGCGGGGTCTCTCACCGTAGATCGCCCGCGCGAGCGCATCGACCCTAGCCTTGTACAGTATCAGAACCCCAAACATCTTGGCGTAGGGCGTGAAGGTAGTCGTGACTCTTGTCAAGTGGTTTATCGACTGACTTTCTGCCAGATCAAGTATCGTATACGGCGCATCTCGGGGGCGGCTCTAGAACTCCCCCGCTGTCGGTAATGCAATCGCTATCAATACCCCGGACGGATTGATACCGCTTACGGCGAATAAGTCCCATGGCCTGCCTTTCACTCGGGTGCGGCTTGCTAAGGTGCCGTCATGGCGTGATCCTGGGCAGCGATTCGATTTGGTCAACTGTCTTGTTATTTAATGCTGGATCAGTCGATAGGCGGTCCTGCAATGCGTGCGACATTTGTTCCATCAACGGACTGGTCTCGGGAAACGCCGTCGTACACGTGCGCAACAGTTGCCACACTGATCTCCATTCGCACTGTTCTTGATGTCTAGGATGAGTACGTGATGTCTCTACAAAATTCGACAACTTTTTCTTTCGAGAGCGATTAGACAAACATCCTGAGCTTCGTATCGAGGAGACGATATGCGTGATTCGAAACCCGATCCAACACGTGATATATTGGACATCGCCGTACGAGTTCAAGATGTTGGGAGTTGGGTTTCAAGCGGGTGAAAGTGTAAATGGGTGTGGGAAGGCTGCCAGCAAGAGCATTGAATGTGGGATGCGGCGCTCTGCGCTAAATGCACGAGCCCCTCCGGGTGAGCTCCACCACAAGATAGCGGTCACCGATCACAATCGTCCGCCTTCCAAGCCTTCAACACCTTGCAATACAAGCTTGCCGCTACTTCAAGGAACAAAGATGGCATTGTTGTTTAAGGGCGGTCTGATGATGCTCTCTCTCGATCACTTACAAAACCGAACTACAATCCTCACCCTTCAAGTACTCCTCCATGGAAGTGTACTTCACGTCGATGCCCAAATCCCACGGAAACACGACATCAGGATTGCCTCCTTCAAAACCAAACTTGTCGAAGTACTCGTACATGTCAGCAATTTCAGGCCCGTACACAGGCCCCATCGCAGCTTCCATTGCATCCCGAGGCATTTTCTTGAACACGCATTTCACGTTGTTTACCTTCCCAAAAGTGTCGCACCACTCATCGAACGAGATATACGATCCAGCGCCACTGATGAGTTTACCTGGTGACAACTCAACGAGTGCCTTCGTGAAATTGCCTTGTAATGTCAGCACATAGCTGTATAGAAGGAAAACGAAACTAACCAGTATCTGCAACCGGATCGACCATGGGAATCTTCTTGTCTCCGCTAATGGGAAGACTAACAACGAAGGTACCGTCTTCTTGCTTTTCTGGTTTCCCACTAAAGTTCTTCCAGTTGCTTGCATAGTAGCCCAGGTGCAGCAGGCTCGTCTTGGCCCACAGCTCCGGATACGTGTCTTTCAGATAGTTCTCAGCTTCGGCCTTCGCATCGAAGTGATAGTTCCATTTGATACTACCATTGCTCCATTTTCTCGCTGAAGACAGCGTGGACAACACGAGGCGATCCAAAGTGCCAACATGAGCCGCTGCTGCGTCGATGATAGCTTTCATTTGCTGAACCTCTCGGTCGAACGCTACCTCATTGGCTGTGCGCTTCTGCTCGGCCGCAACCTGGTGCGTTGCCGGGGCGTTCAGATGAGCCCAAAAGTCAGTCGTGCCGAAAATGACGTTTGCACCTTCGAACCCTTTCTTTAGTGACTCCAGGTCATCGAGATCGCCCGCTATGATTTCAACGTTGTCAGATGACCACTTTGTAGCGGATGGCTTGGATGGGTCCCGAGTGATGCCACGAACTTTCCATCCGGGCTCATTCTGGAACACACGAGCGACCGAACCACCCTACTCTGTGTTATTATCGCATGCAGCTGTGGAACGATTGTTTCACGTAAGATGCGCGTACCTGGTTTCCAGTGACTCCAACGACGGCGATTAATTTGGTCATGACTATGTGCAGCTGAATACTGATTGTAAAAAGGTGAAGAGTAATGACTACGCCAGCCTTTGCTCACAAATTTATATACCCTCTCACGTCGTTATGCAGCATGAGATTAGTGATCCTTGATCAGAGTCGCTTGCAAGATCAATTCATATTCAGGCATCCATTCGATGTACGAATGCAAGGATATCCCGCCAGTACGACAGCCCTACTGAAAGCCTACATACAATACAGATAGAGTATAGCCACCACTGAAATCTTGGACGACCACAGTGAAGGCCGGTCATTGGTTCTACTCTACGCCCGTGGTAACATGTGTTAGTATCTGACTGCATTGCCGCCCGGGCGTACGAACCCCGCGTGTTCCTTCGATACTTCTCTGGACCTTAATGCAATCCACCATGCATACGTGGGTGAAGAAGATAGCTGACCAAATAAAGAAAGGCCTTAGTAAGTGACCCTAGTGCAGCTGCCCGGGTGAATAGTCAAAGCTAAGCCTGGTTAGGAAAGTCTCAACCTGCATCGAGCATTTTGTGTTCGAATGCAAGATTCTCCTTCCATATCTATGACATTGTCTTCTAACTAGAAGGAGAGTCATCACATGGCACATTGAGACACTGAGTGGTCTAACGTGCTCTCTTGGTGACACACCATGAGCGTGCATGATATGAAGCACATCCGCTAATTCGTACATGTCTCTACACCAATAGTTAGAAAGCGCACACAATCCCGAAAATGGGCAATCCGCGGTATGATTCCTGTTAGGTACAGCTCTCATGAGCTTAGCGATCGCTGAAGTCATTGGCGCTAAGTGTGCGGCATATGTGAACGACATGCAGTGATAACCAACATTCGATCCATCATCTTCAATTGGCAGGACTCTGGCAATGAAGTTGGACTCTAGCATTTCTTTCGATATGTTCGATGGATCCTATGCTAGTGGTATTGATCATCTCACCGATCGTAGCCTAAGCTACAGGAACGGCACGAGGTGGTTGGTTGCTAGAAGTCTCTCGGAGGCACTCTGCCACAAACTGATCAGATGTAAAGGATAGAGTTGAGAATACAGTAGGTGCAGTGGATTCGAGATAATCCTCTCTACGAGAATTTGCGGTAGAGGGTAGAGGCTTGTGTTCATAAGAGCGGTTGACTAAAGAGTCTTCGTATAGTCCGTGGGGTGAGAGAATGCAGACGTACCGAGTGTTTGTACCGACTACAGGCAGGTGAAAAGCCTTGCTAAATCGATTTATATAGGTGGAAACAGAGTACCCCACTAGTCTCTTACCAGTTTTGTTACAGACGCCTCTAGCCTCGCGAGTAGTTGGGAGCGGATTCTGGCCTTACCAAGAGAGTAGAAGCATCGCGTTGCGCGTACATACGTGAATTATAGATTCAAGTTGATGTGTAAACCGAGCTGGAGATTACACAACTGTAAAGAAACCCTGCGTTGTTGTAAGCAAGACACTACATGTGCGTACTCTTCGTCGTTCCCACTAGTCGGTCCGCATAAGAGGGCTGGAAGTATCAATGTAGTGAGGAAGTGTTCGGCTACAATGGGCTGTCGCTACTTGCTTCCACCAAAGCTCACCCACCACGTCCTCAATCTATGAATTTCGCAACTGCAAACACTCTCCGCTCTCATTATTTCCAACACTTTGGAAAGATCTGATATCTGCTGCATGGTCTAAGCCTGGTAGTTTCGCTACTGACCAATCAGAAGCAGGAGCTGTAATGGTCTAGCGGTTATGACATTCGCCTCACACATCTGTGCGAACCGCGAAGGGTCTCGAGTTCGAACCTCGATTACAGTATTTTTTGCTTGCTGTATACAGTTGACGTTTGGTCTGGCTACTATAGTAGCTTTTGCGTCGCTCTGAAGATTGTTCCAGCACCCGTTCGGCCAAGCCAGAGCTTTCAAGTTCGCGTCTCGGAAGCAACTTCTCAAAGCTAATGCTACTCTTGAGACAAGGCAGAGTATATGTCATAGCCAAACCTCGAGAGTGCGACACAATCCATATTACTCAGTCCAGCGCAGATGAACTCAGAAACTTTCGCACCGCATATGTCGTGTTGAAGGCTGCTATTTTAGAGGTTCGAGGGGTGGGGTGTGCGTTCATTGTTGAGTACTGAAAGCGCACAGATTCATGGACGCCTGCAATGCTGTCATAGTCTAGAATTTCGAAAATTTCCTTTCGATAGATCAAAGCGGGTATGGATGACGATGAAGAATGTTGATGAAGTTGGTGTTGTTTACGTTTTTGGTCACTCCACGAGCAGGTTGCTAATATGCACGCTGACATCAGGGTCGCGGGACCTCGGCCGGCCACGCGATGCACATGCTCACCCCACAATCGAAAGACTTTCATCTAACCACGATCAGCACACAACTAACCCCACATGGCCTACTTCCATCGTCCCTGCGTGCGATTGGATGTCGGCCGCTGCCGTTTCACCAGCCGAGCCCTTTCTGACCGGCAGGGCAGGCGAAGCCGCAATACATGCGCGGCCGGAAACCCACTGGAGATGACCACCCAACGCCCTGGTACGTCAGTGGTCTCTTGGTCTGGGGTTGCGACGCGAGAATGT